TTTAGATAGCATACATTAACTAGGTCGGGTTAAATAGGTAACAAAGAGCTCTTTTCTCCTTGTCCTTTCTAATTATCTAGTTACAATTAGTTATAGTTAATCTAAAAAGTCATTATATTTTAGACATAATTTAGCCTTTTAAACTTGGCTTAATTATTTTATAATTGCCATTAATATATTCTTAAAGAGTCTATTCTAAATGAAGGTGGCTTTTTTTGGTGGGGAGAAGGGATATGGAAGAGCAAAATTTTAATGATTCTTGGGTAGGAAGATAGTTCCTAGCTACCCTTTTAACATTTTGATGGATTCACACCTTTGACTCTCCAAGTTGTTGAGAACAGACAAACCATGTATTAGCAATTGAGAAAAGAGGAACACTTAAGTGATCCCTGGCTGTCCTGAGCCGCTGAAGCATTAGAGTGGTTTTCATACTTTTAACAGGCATAAGAAGGGTTTATTAAACAGCTTTCTGGGTTCCACCTACCCCTAGAATTTCTGATTCTGCAGATCTGTGTTGGGGCTTGACAGTTTGCATTTGCAGCAAGTTTCCAGGTGATGCTGATGCTGCTCTGGATCTCACACTTTTGAAGCACTGATGGAAAGTAATGATCAGTCTCTGCAGTAGGCCAAGTATGAATTAATAATGCTTACTATAACTTCTGAATTTATTCTTCCCTTATAAAGCAAACCAACAGAAAACCTTAAAAGGATTATATAGTAGGGCTAACCTGGTTTGCTTTAGCCTGTGTGAAATCAAATGTGATTTAAGTTTTAATTCCAAAACAGCTAATAAGTAGTATGTCTTGCACTGTTATTCTGTTTAGTATTTATGTTGACTCACTAAGTTAATTCACTTTACAGATGTTATTGAGTACCTACCATGTGTCATGTACTGTTGAGAGTCGGGGCTGTAGCAATGAATTCCTTTTCCAAGGGGCTTACCTCTAGTTTGAGGGAGATTGACAATAAACAAATAAATAATATGTCAAGTTATTTGGATTAAAAAAGTGTAAGAGTTGAACATATTTATTCCTGCCTGGTATGAATTATACACCTCTAATGGTTTCCTGTGTATCAGCAACCCAAGAATATTTCCTGAATGAAGATTCCAACTATTCCATGTGTTTTAGACTTTGTTTCACTTTATCTTAGTAAAGGTCAAATTACGTTCTCAGTGGGATTTAGACTGTGTGAGCTTGTTATCTTATAAATATGTGTTTCTAGGTTTTAAGCCTTGTGGCGTGATGTTTTTACATTTTTTTTAATAAGTGTTTTTGAACTACACTGTCTCTAGAGGGCACACACATTCTTCTGTTTAGTAAAGCCCTCACCACTTTTCTTATTGTCCCACCAGCCCTGCTTTACTTATTTATGTTATTAACATGGCTTTTGTAGGTATTTGTGCCTGTAGTGACTTATTTAAATAGCTTAAAAAGTAGTTCATTATTTTCAAGCTGAAAATCTAACCTAGGTGAAATTGAGTAATTTAATGGTAACTTAATTTTGTTTAGGTTTCATACTTTAATTTTGGCTCTTACTTGGTGATACTGCACCTTATATACAGAAAAGGGATTTAGTTAATTATTTAAAAAGTAAAATTCAAGGAATTCTGTAGCTCATTGGAAGTCTGTATATACTCTTTAGCCACATATAATATACATTGAAAAGACAGCACTGTACACTGGCACAGCCACAATATACTGGTGGTGGAATTATGAGTGAGTTTTATTTCCTCCTTTTGCTTATATATTTTGTAATACAGGCTTAATAGTGAACTACAGAAATCAAGAAATAAGAAGTTGAAAAGTATTGTCTAAATAGGCAGCTCTGTAGATCTCCTAAGATCCTGTCTTGCCACGCCAGGTTCCCATTTTAAAGTAGTAAGTCAGCTATCTTCTACATGTAGCATGAATTTTGGCTATTCATTCTTTTGTGTTTTGTTTCGTTTTTGAGACAGTCTTGTGTTGATGCCCATGCTGGAGTATAGGGGTGTGAACGTGGCTCACTGTGACATTGACCTTTGGGCTTGAAAGAGCCTCCTGCCTCAGCCTTCCTAGTAGCTGAGACCACAGGCTTGTGTCACCACGCTTGGCTAATTTTTAATTTTTTTTTAAATTAAATTTTGTAGAGATGAGGTCTCCCCATGTTGCCCAGTATAGCTTCAAACTTCTGGGCTCAGGTGATGCTCTTGCCTCGGCCTCCCAAAGTGCTGGCATTACAGGCGGGAGCCACTGTGCCTGGCCTACTCTTTCTTTTGGTCAGTGTAAACTTTTCTGTGGGCAAAGTTGAAAGTGATTGCATATCTCTAGCAGGAGGATCTAGTTTTTAAGTTCAGGATTACACACACACTCTGAGGCTGTATGTGTCAAATGTTAAACTGAACAAATAGCTAGTGGTTTTTGTTTTTTAAACCAAGGATTGGGTTGAGATAAGCAAGTAAACTCTCAGCTTTGAGGGGAGAGAGGTATTTGATGTGGTTTAGGTGGTACACTGATAAGGGATTCCATAACTCAGAATCACATAGTGAGGATGTTACTTCTTTTTCAGTTTTCTATGAATCCTAAGGATTTCCTAAGTACAAAGGTCATATTCTGGAGCTAGTGTGTAACACTTTTGAGTATCAAGTGCAAGAAGGTGACTCTGGGAAGCAGCTCTCTAGGGAGACTGCGGAAGTGAGACAGGGAAGGTAAGGAAGCCAGTAAGGTAAAGTCACCACTGTAAGCAGCTGGAGCTTAGTACCAGTGGGGAGCTCTGGGAGGCAGTGTAGCACATGTGCCTTAGAGTCATCTCACCCAAAAGGAGAGGGAGCTGCTGGGTTAATGACTCTGAATCCTCAGTAGTGATTGGTTGAAGGCTGCTCTAGGGTTTTTAATTCTCCCACAATTTCTTACCTGCTGCTCCTACAAGGAGAGCAAGCTCTGGCAGCTGGACAGAACACTGAGGGAAGAGTCTCAGGGTGTGGATGGGGTAAATGGGTGGGGCACCAACAGTATTTGCCATGCCCCCTGGACAGCTAAGCTTTTCATGCAGTCCTCCTCATTTTAGTAAACGACAGCTCCATCCTTTGATGCTCAAGCCAAAAACTTTGGAGTCACTCTTGACCTTTCTTTCACATCTCACATCTAATCTATCAGCAAATCATGTTGACTTTACTTTTAAAATATCTTCAAAATCTGACCTTTCCTTATGGTTCTCAGTGCCATCATCTGGCCCAACCCACTATCATCTCACAGCCTCCGAACTTAGTTTGCTCTCAGTGCAACTGTTGGAATGATGCATATAAAATCTAAGCCAGATCATGTCATTCCTCTGCTCAAAACCCTCCAGAGAGGCCTGTATTTTAGAGTGAAAGTCAGAGTCTTTGCAATGGCCCGTAAGGACCTACGTGATCTGGCCTCTTCCTGCTGTGTGTTTGTGCACATGCATGTAAAACTCTTTTTTTCTTTAGCTTTACATTAGTCAAAACACTCCTTTACTCCCCATTCCCTTCAGTGTAGGTTATGTGATTCATTTGTAATTAGGTTTATTTGCTGTGTTTTACATTCCATCTTTACCACTACAGCCTTGTTGATTTTTTAAAATTAAAATTTACATAGTAATTTGATATACAGTTCTGTTGGTTTTGACAAATGCATGAAGTAGTGTATCCCTCACCACAGTTCCATGGAAAATAGTTAATTGCCCTGAAAATTCCCCCATGCTACTGCTTTATAGATAGTCCCTCTCCCTACCTTCCAGCCCTTGGTGACCACTGATCTGTTTTCCTCCCTATACTTTTGCCTTTCTTAATGTCATGTAAGGGGGACTCTTAGAATGTGTAGCCCTTTGGGTCTGGCTTCTTTCACTTAGCAAAATGCATTTAAGATTATGCCTTGTTTTGTGAACATTCCTTGTAGTTCATTCCTCAAATGTCCTTTAAAATAGAATTAAATAGCAGAAGTGAATCGATTTAAAGAAAGTATTGAACAAAAATAATATAGGTCGTACATAGAACAAAATCTTGAACCTGGATGACTAAGGTGTAGAGATGAATAATGTGATGGAAAGATGCTTGGAAGGCTTTGCTTTACCTGGTAACCTCTGCCAGTAATGAGCCTTGTGTTCGTGCGCAAATTACTTAACCACTCTGCTTCCTAGTCTGGTAAAATAAACAGTAAAATACCTGGTCTAGTTGTTGTTAATCCTGAGGTAACTGTGGTTCATGACACAGAACATAGGTAGGTTCTTCTGGTAGCACTTTTTTTAAATATTAGAATTTCAGTGCTGTGAAGCAACTGTAGATTTCAAAGCTATTAGGATCCGCTGTACAAATGCTTTGTGAAACCTGTAGTATGGGACAAAGAGCCTGTCAGTAGGGATGAAGTAAGCCTCAGGGCAGGGCGCCAGTTCATTGACTTTTTTTCTGTTGGGCTTACTTAGTTTAAGGTAGCAGCCTGAGTTGGAGCTGTGGTAATGTTGGAGAGGTGCTTGGTGGTATTGTAAACCTTAACAAGTTTTCCAGCAACCTCTTTATGACTGCAGCATTTGGACCTTAATCCTCATAGTCCTGTCCTTAGGTACATTTTCTCAAGGATGTCTACAAAGATTGATTGTTGGTGTTCACAGTTTCTCCGAATTTTCCTCTGGTTCATTGATAGGCCATTTTGTTACATAATTGCCAGTGTGTATTTGAGGGTCAAAGCATATTTGAGACTGCTCCACGGATGACGGAAGCTTAGAGGAGACCCAGAAGGAAACCAGTGATGATTGCTTGTTGAGTTGTTATTTTTAAAGATAGACAGGTTCATACTAATTCCTCTTAAAGTCACGATCAGTGGCTGTTTAGCATCCTTGACCTGTTTGCTTTTTTGTTTTTAATTGAAATAGGATAGTGAGGTGATAGAGTGTCAGTGTAAGATCAGAAGAGTAAGTGAAGGGAATTTGAGAGCGCAGAATGGCTGTGATTTGTGTCTGTTCCACATGTGGCACATAGTAACATTTATTTTACTTTTTACTTTTAGTAATGAATGTTATAACTATTGAAGATTATAAGAGCACATACTGGCCAAAATTGGATGGTGCCATAGATCAGCTTTTAACTCAGAGTCCTGGTGACTATATCCCCATATCCTATGAACAGATATACAGGTAAGTTAAGATTTAATTTGCTTGGGTTTGAAAGGGTTTACCAAGATTCAGGGCACTTGAATTATGCAGCACACAAACATGTAATATATAATACATAAGACGAGGCTCTGTAAGTGTCTTATATATTCCATACTTACGGATTGGAGGGTTTGTTTTATACTTTTTGATTCAAAAGTGGTTTTCAAGTCATGACAGAGTAAGCCTGCCATCTCCACCATACATAATGCAGAAGTCAGCAATAAAAGCAAGAATGACTGAAGTATCTGGTGTAAAAACCGTATTTTTTGTCTCCAAGGGAGACCTGGTTTAATCTGTTGATGTTTATTGATGCACAGTTCTAATATTCTTCAGTTATTTTGTTTCCCAGCTCCTGGTAAATGGAAACAGCAAATTAGGAACTGGGGTGGGATATGACATCAGCACAGTGGAATGAGGAAGTGACAACTATGTTGTTCCACATAGCTGATATACAAAGAGGTTGTATTGCAAACACTTCCGTGAGTTAGAAACTTTCTCTCTACTGAATACCAGTCACTCTGTTTTCCTTATTTTGACATTGATTTAAAAAGAGAGAGAGAGAACCTGGCTTATAAATAGTTTTCATTTTCAGACCTTAGATTCTCATCTAATATTAGATTATCTAGTACTGATTAAATGTGTAATACACTACACGGAAGAGCATATTTACAGTGGATGGTACTGTCTTTTCCATCCGAACACTGATGGGGGAGGATGAGTTTTTTATTTAAAAGTTGTCATTGGTTACTTTTGGAAGATATGAATTAATTATTGGATCAGTGGCTATATATCAAAAGTGTGCTTTAACCTTGGACTGAGTTAAGTGCTTTGTGATTAACTTGGTTTGTGGGGGGTTTTGTTTGTTTTACAGTTGTGTGTATAAATGTGTATGCCAGCAGCACTCAGAACAGATGTATAGTGATCTGATTAAAAAGATAACTAATCACTTAGAGAGAGTCTCTAAGGAGCTGCAGGTAAGGAACTGATTGTATTGATTTTTGCTTCATTGGGTTTTCCTGACTGGATGCAGTTAGTTTGTCTAATATACATTTTGGAAGCTTGTTAATTTAATGATATAAATTTATAAATGTTTTCTAGATGAATGTTGATTGATCAAGTCATGTAATTTTTGGAATAGATTATTTGAAAATTTGGTATAAGTTGTGGAAATTTTTGGATTAAATGTATTTCAGACCCTAACTGATTCCATTGATTACCATGTCAACATTTCTTTTATTTAAAACCTTATTTTTTTTCTGTCAGTGTCAATATTTGGTGACTTTTATGATACAAAAATATGTGTATGTTTTAACTTTTTTTTGGAACTCATCATCTTCGAAGAGTAGTTTGCCTACTCATTCATAATACCTTCCAATATAAACAACTGAAGTAAACAGTTTATTGATAAACCTCCTCTAAATAGGCATCATTCCAGCTCTAAAGTCTGGGGCAGTTTGCAGAAAATCTTCTGTTTAAGACTTAGCTTGATCTCCCTCCCCCCACTTCAGTAAACCTTCAATGCTTGAAGATCAAGTATTGTTAGGTTGGTGCAAAAGTAATTGCGGTTTTTGCCATTGAAAATAATGACAGAAACCGATTACTTTTGCACCAACCAAATAGTCTTTATACCAGGGCTTGATCACACTTTGCTTATGATGTAGAAGTAGAATGATGTTTAGAAGTCACTCAGCAATAGCATTACCAGGGTCTATACCACAATTAGGAAGTACCCCAGCAGTTTTGAAATAACCACACTTTATAGCACATGCTGGGGTGTGGTTTGGGCTTGGATATTGTTTTTCACAGCTTGTGGTCTGAGATAGCTTTGTCTTTTTTGTCTTTTTTTCCCCAAACATTTGTACTAAGTAGCATTTTTTTTTTCATTTTCAAATGATAGAGCTGTGTTCTGTCATAATCACATATATTCTTTTCTTGTTGTTAGTATAAATTTTTTTCTTCATCTTTTTGCTGCTCATTATAAAATCTTTATTCATTTAACTCATATATTCAGTGCCTAGGCATTGTGTATAAATTGTTGATGAAACCCTAGATCTATGCTTTATAGCTTTTGAGTGATTTGCTTTCTAATTCTTCACTCCACCATCTACCTGAATTTTTACCTGAATCCAATTTATGGACTTCTGGTCTCACTGTGGACTCTGTCCACTTCTGCTGTTCACATGCCAGTACCCTAGTTAGGGTCGTCATCATTTCTCAAGTGTTTTACTGAAATGCTTATCTCAACTGCCTTACTTTATTGATGTACCTTAATTTATTTAACCAGTTTTTGATTGATGAATATTTAGGTTACTTCCAATCTTTGGCTGTTACTAACAGTGCTGAAGTAATAGTCAGTCTTGTAAGCAATGTTGTTTAAGTTGTATCAAGTTGCACTCCCCTCAGTTCTGTATATATCACAGTGTGTGTTTTCCTTTGCCCTACTAATATAGCCTATTATGAAACCAAATAATTTTTAGTTATATATTAATATAGGAATGATTCCTATTAATGATTAAAATATAAATCAGGGTGATATTTCTTTTGACGTTAGTGTTGTTTTGTTTTATTTTTTGAGATGGGGGTCTCACTCTGTCTCCTGGGCTGGACTGCCATGGTACAATCGTGTCTTACTGCAGCTTTGACCACCCCCCCCCCCCCCAGGCTCAGGTGATCCTCCCACCTCAGCCTCCCCAGTACCTGGCACTACAGGTGTGTGCCACCATGCTTGGCAAATTTTTTGTGTTTTTTGCTTTAGAGATGGGGTTTTGCCATGTTGCTAAGGCTGGCCTCAAACTCCTGGACTCAAGCGATCTGCCAGCCTTGACCTCCCAAAGTACTAGGATTACAGGTGTGAGCCACTGTGCCCAGCCTGATGTTAGTGTTTTTAAAAGGAGTAATATATGATGTAAAACCAGGGAATTTAGTTTGTTTTTAGAATCAATACATGTCCCACTTTGAGTTCAGCTGTATGGTTTTATGAAGTCTAGCTTCAAAATGATTCCTTTTATAAGATTGTAAAGTTAGTAACCATTATTAAATAGGGAAGTGGTTTAAAATATGGGGATTTGGGTCTCTGTTTTCAGCTCTGCCACTCAGCAGTTGTGTGTTTGCCTCTTTACGAAACATGCTAATCTATATCATCTTATACATTTTCTTGACATTAAAATGAAGTAAATTTACTAAAATATCTAGTTCCTTCACACTAAGGTGGAAGGTATTTTCTCAATATTAAAGTAGATTTACTAAAATATCTGTAGTTATTTACACTAAGGTGTTTTTTCTCCTGCTTCCTGCCTGGCAAATGCTTCTTCATTCTTTTCTTAGGCTTAAATTCATTTGTGTCAGTCTGTGTAAAGCCTTCCTGGAACTCTTGCACTCCTCAAAACACAACAGAACAGAACAGACTATTGGCATTTCTTCTGTGGATCCATAGCAGCTCAGCGATAAGAACTCTATTAGGGTAGTGATTGTGTTATTGTTTCTGCTTCCCTGTCTTTACTGCTTCACAGGTCCTCCCTTGAGGGGGTAGGGACTCTGTCTTATTTGTCGTTTTATCCTTAGTGTCTGCCACCGTTACAACTCAGCAAATATGTGTTGACTGAATGCTGAGTAACTAAATATGATGTATATGAATGCAAAGAGTAGGATAATTAGCTTCATATGACCATTACTCCTATGCTCTTTAGATTCGTAGGCATTTTATTTATTTGTTCAGTGTGATGTGTGTGGCCTAGTGTAATCTTTATTTTATACAGACCTTCTGGCAGTTTTCATGGGGGACAGATCAAGAGTCTATGCCAGGCTTTATGAGCCAGAAACATTTTATTTGGTTGGGCATTTTGTTGGCAGCTCTGGTTTTCATAATGAAATATTGTTGTTATAAGCCAAAACAAGAGTGTGGGAGCAGTTGCATTTGGCAGATAATCAGAAATTTAGTGCTGGAGTTGTTAAATCAATGATTTGGACCTACAGGGCGTCAGCCTCAGTCAAGGACATCTTAAAATAGCTGTGGGTTTGTATAGTTTATATGTCAGAGGGACTTACTTATTTTTATCTGAAGGCACATCCTGTTGGGGGGATTGAAGACTATATAAAATAATGTTCCCATATTCTCCAGTTATTTTTGGTGTTGACTTAAAAACTAGAGAACGTGGTTTTCAGAAATTTTAGATTAATTTGTTGAATGTAAATATTTTTTATGTGATGGCATCATCTAACTTGCTGCCTCTTTTTTTTTTTTTTTTTTTAACACGTTTCTTTTATTTTGGAAATAATGACTTTTCTACTTCAGGAACTTTAAAAAGTTATTTTTGTTGTTGTTGTTAAATTAACAAATAGCTAAATCCCTTTAGTATTTTCCTTACTATTGTATTTCACTGTATGTATAGCTATACATTTTAACTTACTGCTGGATTGTTTGAAATTGTGACAGTATATTTTGCCTTAATTTTTTAAAACCATGCCTTTTCTTGTCCTTATTAACTCCCCTCTTATTTATTTATTTATTTATTTATGAATGCATGAGACAGCGTCTCAGTCTGTTACCCAGACTGGAGTGCAGTGGTGTGATTCTGGCTTACTGCAGCCTTGACCTCCTGGGCTAATTTCTGGCCTCAGCCCCCTGAGTTGCGGGGACTACAGGTATGCACCACCATGCCTGGCTAATTTTTGTATTTCTTGTAGAAGGGGTGTTTTACCATGTTGCTGAGGCTGGTCTTGAACTTCTGGACTCCAGTGAACTTCCTGCCTTGGCCTCCCAAAGTGCTGGGATTACAGGCATGGGCCATCACTCCCAGCTGTTCCTTCTTTAAATGTGATAATGAAAGTCTGTTTATTTTTATTTTTCTGTATCTCCAGAACCTCAAAATACAAATTTTCAATTCTGGCACTTTCCTCTACTGGTGAATGGAAATAGATCACTTTAGAGAGTAAGTTGGTTTACCAATTCAGTAAATCATATTCTGAATAGTTTTGGAAAATTCTATGGAAATGTTTAGAAATGACCATACTTTTGGTTAGAAACCAGGACCAGGACCCTCAGACTAGGACCTACAATTGCCTGTTGGATTTGGGTTTCATCTTGTAGATACCTCATACTGAGGTCTAAGTCTAAGTTCCTCCTCATTCAAATTAGTTTCTTTCTGAGGCTTGACATTTCATATTCGTCTTTGCTTTTTCTCTCTTATTTCTGGGTGCTAGTTAAGATTAGTGGAATACTATAATATCTCTTGCTTCTGTCTTCTTTCATTCCCATTGTTGTCTTCCTTTCCCATGTCACCATTGGCTCTTGCCTGCACTGGTGTAATATTCTTTTAATTGGTTTGTCTTCCTGCAGTCTCTTCTTTTGGCTAAATAATCTAAAACCCTAATTTGATGGGCATACTTTCTTGTCCAAAAATCTAAATACTGTTCACTGTTTTTCTTAATCACAGCTGATTTTTTGGTCAGTGTAAAAAAACTGAGTGGTTTTATTGGTTGCAGGGGTTTGTAGTGGGAAACCTGATGTATCTTATCCAAGTATGCAAGGTACTCTATTGGGTCTGGTGGTGAACATAAAATTGATAAGACTAGATAGTGTGGACCACCCTGCCTGCTGAGAGCAATTACAAAAATTAGACCAAAGAACTAACAAAAAAAGTGAATTATAGGGCCAGGATCTAAGAGAAGAAAGAATCTCAGAGAGGAACCTAATGTTTGAGCTGTTTGTCTGCTGGGGTCACCCATTTATTCTGGAAAACGAGGCTAATGAGCTGAGAAATTTAATAGAGCTTTGACACACTTGTGGGGGTGGGGTAATAACTTGGAGTATAAGTCCCATTAAAACTGAAGTACCACATCCCAGGAGTAGCAAGAATAAAAAAATACAGACTAGCTTTCTTAGTTGCTAAAGCTTGATCCTTGATTGGATTAAGATGGTCTTGATTTGCTAGAGCTTCGATTAAGCTTACTAGCAGCAAAAGTAAATTCTGGAGAG